TTTTATACAGACAGACAGACAGACAGACAGACAGACGGACATAGCTGTTCGTCCGTCCGTCCAGAATGTGTAAAAAATTATTATTTTTTTTTGAGTTGTTTTACATTTTGATTCATAACTTTTCCCGATGTGAACTGATTTTGCTCATTTTCAATACCGAACTGCCTAGGACAATAATAAATATTTTGGATGAATTTCGTTAATTTTTGTTGCTGTGTGATAACGTGAAAATATATAGACTGACAGATAGACAGACAGATAGACAGACAGACAGACAGACAGACAGACAGACAGACAGACAAACAGACAAACAGACAAACAGACAGACAGACAGACAGACAGACAGATAGACAGACAGACAGACGGACGGACATAGCCAGATCGACTCAGAATTTCATAAGGTCCAATAATATATATGCTTTGTTGGGTCTCAGATTAATATTTCTTGGTGTTGCACACAGAATGACAAAGTTATATATTCCCTCTATCACCATTGATGGTGGTGGAGGGTACAATAAAGCTGTCAGGCTAGAACTTGACGAGAATATGTTTTGTATGTATGTATATATACAAATCATTCAACGAAAATTTTCCACATCGGTCGATCACACTTTATAGCTCCCATATAAGGTTCACTTCCGAAATTACTTATAAGCACAATTTCATTGACAATCAAGTTATCGGACTAAAAATTCGTCATTTTTTCCGGATCGGTCAACAATTGGTTCATTGGTACCCTCCAAAACTATAAAAAAAAGTCGGGAATGGTCGACCATATGATACCAGTTATGAGTATATCTAAAATGCGATTTCTTTGTTAATATAGCATTTATATCGAATATTGTCTTAATTTCCATATACTATTTAAGAAATTTATTAATGGAAAATAGAGACTACATATGGGAGCTACGATCAATTATAAACCGACCCTATCAAAATTTGGTGGACGGATTTATGTATGTTCATATAGGAGTTAGATATGCAGAATTTCATCATAATGGTAGTGTTTAAGAGGGAATTAACTATTTTGAAGCCATAATTAAGAGTTCCAAAGCCCTATTCGAGCGGTTTTATGAGGGCTAGGGGAATAATGGACCGATATAATCCATTTCCAAACAACTTCCTTGGGTAAAATTAAACATATGGTGGGAACTCTCTCACAATATCTGAGGCAAAGAGGATCAGGTCTCCCGAGGAGTTGACAACTGAGAATAAACCTATGAAGAAAAAGAGCTCCCTGTGACAAGCCAAGCCACACTTCACTTAAAGGAACCTCAAGTCAGAATCCTCCGAATAAGGTTGACAACGCCAAGCCAGATATTTCGAAGACGAACACGTCGCGAAACCAACCTCGAAGTTAAGGCTTTCTCAACAGAAGCCCCGAAAAACGAGGAAGGAGAACCTAGACGGTGGAAAAGGAAAAGAGTCGCCATATTACACCAAATTTGCTAGAAGAAGACACCGGGACGATCTCTGCTATGCAGTTTACGATGCCGGTAATCCGACAGGCAAAATTCCAATAGACCAGCAGAGTAAGGTAGAAGATCTGGTGAAGATCAAAGGCAAACAACCAATAGACTAACGAACTTGGTGGAAAGTATCCCCCTTCCCTGGGACGGCGCTAAGCTGGAACTGGCAAAGAAGAATAAACTTCCGATGCTTTTACTGTCTACATAAAAGGATGGGGCAGTAAATTGGCTAATGAACGTATACTGGAAATTCTTGGGAAGGTGCCGATCGGAAGGGCTGTTAAAACAAGCCTCGAAAATGACACTAAAAAACTAAGAACACAGCATCAGTAGCCACTACTGATAAGGTTGGGAGTCAAATCCTAAAATCGAGGAAGTTACCACTACCTCACCAGAAGAAAATGCAGTTGCCCTTTCCAAAATTGGGAAGGCGCCGATTAAAAGGGCTGTCAAAACCGACAAGGACTCTAAAACACTTACGACGGCAACCAAAACATCATTAGCAAGTACTGGTAATGTTGAGGAGCCAAATCCTAAAATCGAGGAAATTGGGAAGGTGTCGATTAAATAGTCTCATATTCCAATGCCAGATAAGGACGCCGCAGTGCCATCAATAGTACCCACTGCATCAATAGCCACTTCTGTCTACCCGGAGGAGTCAAGTCCAAAGAGCGAGGAGGTGGAAGCCAACTCGCTGGAAGACAGTTTAATGGATGACCAACGCTACCAACGCTTTGACGGCTAAATTTAACACAGGTAAAATACATATAGCTTTAATCCAAGAACCTCCGACGATTCGCAACAAGGTTTCCGGATTAAATCACGTAAACTTCCAACTTTTTTTCGCTGATACAGGGTCTTGCCCGAGAACATGTATCTTATGTCACAAGAACTTGTGTTTCCTCTCAAGAGGATTATCCACATCGGATGCAACCGTACTGAAATAAGGTAGTGGTAACATATATCTCGCTTCCGTTTACCTGCCCTTCGATTCTCCGACACTACCACGAACTTCAGATCTGATGAAACTGGTTGAAGAGGCACAAAGGAAAAATAAGAAAATTGTAATAGGTTGTAATGCAATTTCCCACCATATGTTTAATTTTACCCAAGGGAGTTGTTTGGAAATGGATTATATCGGTCCATTATTCCCCTAGCACTCATAAAACCGCTCGAATAGGGCTTTGGAACTCTTAATTATAAAGAAGAATATATACATATATCATTCTGTTCGGACTCTATCGTGTTTTCAACAGACAGACAGACTGATGGACATGGCTAGATCGTCTTAGAATTTAATAAGGACCAAGAATATATACTTTTGTGGGTCTATGATCAATATTTCTATGTGTTACAAACGGAATGACAAAATCAATATACCCTCCATCTTTTTTGGTGGTGGGTATAAAAAAAGAAAGTATATATATTAACTTTCTTCTGTTAAAAACACATAATATACCCAGCAAAAAATAATTGACATCTTAATCACATCATATTTTTCGCTTTTATAAACCAAATATTTCTTTACAAATAAAAACCGAGTTAAAAGTGAGGAAAGAGATGTTGAAAAGTCACTACAAATAACATATTCGAAGTACATCAAATTTTGGTGAAAAACCTATGAAATTTACATAAGCGTGTCATTGAAAGAATGTGTTATATTTTTGACATCCAAATATGGGATCTATGAATAAGATTAGATGTAGTTCAAAGTTGTCAAAAATGAACAACATCCCTCCAATGACACGCTAATGTATATATATGATATATATAAGGGATATATATATCCCTTATGAGCCAAAACCTCTATATGAAAAACCTATGAATTTTACATTAGCGTGTCATTGGAGGGATGTTGTTCATTTTTGACAACTTTGAACTACATCTAATCTTATTCATAGATGCAGTAAAAATCCCATATTTGGATGTCAAAAATATAACACATTCTTTCAATGACACGCTTATGTAAATTTCATAGGTTTTTCACCAAAATTTGATGTACTTCGAATATGTTATTTGTAGTGACTTTTCAACATCTCTTTCCTCACTTTTAACTCGGTTTTTATTTGTAAAGAAATATTTAAATTACTGTACTTATAAGTTTAGATATTTTCTTTAAATAAAAATTGTAATTTTTCCCGAAATCCTTCAAATTCACATCGCAGGTACGGTAAAACTATGAGAGGTATTAAACTCATTCTTTTCATAAGGGATATATATATCCCTTATGAGCCAAAACCTCTATACTGACTTTTATCTTTATAAACATAATGTTCAATTAAACACAGAAAGAATGAGTTTAATACCTCTCATAGTTTTACCGTACCTGCGATGTGAATTTGAAGGATTTCGGGAAAAATTACAATTTTTATTTAAAGAAAATATCTAAACTTATAAGTACAGTAATTTATAATTTTATAAATTTTAAATTAATTAACAATTTCTATTAGCAATAATTATCAATTACTTTATTTACTTTTGTCAAATTTAAACACAAAAACATACAATATACTAAAACAAATTGCATACAAAAACAAAGTCTTACTAAACAAACAACCCATCAAGTTTTATTGTTCAGTCGGCTTGATTTGTACTAACCAGTCAAACTAATAGTTTTGTTTACGTCCCTTAGTAAGAAAACGAAACCAAGAACTAAGCAATACGTAAGCAGCACACGCAAAACTGTTTTTACTGTTCAGTTGTCGTATTCAGTTCGGTTGAGTGGAAAAAACTTAACATGGCCGCTGCTTGTGTGTGTGGCTGCTGAAGAAAAACAAAACCACTTGCAATTTATTGCAGCAATGTGTTGACACAGTTGACTGACTTCAGTTAGCTTGTAAGGGGAAATTTTAACGAGTTACTATTTTTTAAGCATGGTACTAAATTTAGTCAAATATTTAGTAATTTGCGACTGCAATTAGCCTGCTCATAAGTTTTATACGAGTTAAAATCTATCTACCAAATTTATTGAGGATCGGTCCATAATTGATCCTACCCGCATTCAGAAAATTACTTTAACGATAATTTCTGGCTTCCTACCGAATTTCATGCGGAAAGTGTTGGCAACTTATGCTACTCGCCCATATAAGCCTGCCTCCATCAAATTTTAAAGCTAAAGCATAAATATGCGAGTACAGCGATGATATTCGATGTAAACATGTTTATATGAATCGGTCTAAAATAATTTTATGAAAAACGATGTTCCTTTTATGGCATACGGGTTGATGGTGGGTATATGAGATTCGGCACAGCCGAATATAACACTCTCATTTGTTTGATCTGAAAAAAAATAAAAATGGATTTCTGTTTTATAATTCATTAAAAAAGTTTTCTACTATTATTCGTGGCAAATTAATTCGCAACCGCCTTAATACACATAGTAATATTTTTGTTTCCATAAAACTTTCTTGTGTTAAAATTTATCAGTATTCTTCAATTTTTAAGCTAGTTATGAAAATTAAAGTAATTTTTGAAAAGTGCACTATGGTAAATAATATATTTTTTTTGCAAAAAGTATAAAAGTAAACTTACCTGTATAACAGTTTTTCTGGGTCCATTATTATTTATTTTTGTTGGTAACGCTGTAGACTGCAGTTGTGTTGGTAGAGATATTGTTAATGGCTGCTTTTGTACTAGTTTGTTGTGTGTTGAAATACTATTAGTATTATTTACTTTGACGATATCTAAATTGTTTTTATTTTTCTCTTTTGAAGACAAATATTGCAAACACGAATCGTGGTTCTCTATATTGATGTTTTGATGGTCATCAATGTAGTTGCAATTATGTTGGGTATTTTTATTTTTATCCCCAACAGTAGAATAATTAGAGTCAATAAGTTGGGTCTTTAAGTTTCCAGTTGGCAAGTTGGAACATTTCGATTTATAATCCATTTTTTTCCGACTATGAGATGAAATTTTTTTCCACGATAAAGCATTCATAAAAATTGAATGCTTTTTTAAATGTTTTTCAATATTTCCTTTTTCTGATAAAATAACCGAATTTTCATTATGAAAGTCAAGATCATTGTTTATAGTATCCTTAGCACTGTTAATATGATGAATATTATTAGAATTTATGTTAGTAAGTTTAACATTATGACTGTGGCTGTTTCCATTTTTTGGAAATGTAGGGCAATGAACTTTTTTATTTTCACGATTTTTAGCATTATTTAATTGTTCATATGAAAAGTTATTTAGCTGAGAATCTGTTAAGTGAATACTTTCATTATTAATATCATTTTTAATTTCCGCTTGTTGATTATATTGAAAATAATGTTGGCCAGAATAAATTGGATTGTTACGGTCCTTTGGGTTAATACTTAATACTGTCCCCATCTTAGAAAATTTTCTGCAAAAATCAGATATTACAAAAAGTTATTTTATGTTTCAAAGAAATTGTATGCTCACTGCAAATAATGAAATCTTAATAAGTATGTACATATTTATTTCTAATTAAAATGAGTCAAAATACTTGCCATTTAGTCATTTAGTTACTAACAATTATCAAAAAACAGGAAAATATAAAAATGTTGGGATTCCGACTATTGTAGTTTCCAAGATATGTGATTTTTATATGTATTGCAAAATTAGTCAAACAATATTCATCTGGTACCCAACAAAGTAAAATTTTTCTTGGTACTTATGAAGAGAGAACAAAATAAGTGATGGACTAAGGAACTTTGAATTTAAAGGTCGACTGTTAAGAAATTTCCTGTTAGAAAATACAAGGACCCAATGGTCAAAGGAGTGATAACTCATGGACGGAGTCTAGATCTGATATCCTTGCTCTACTTATGGAAACAGATTTTTCGTGTTGTCTTACAACTGATATGTATATTTACCAAAGAGGTCGAGGGAAGTTTGGGTTATATGTACACCCTTCTATCTATCTTCTTTTCTTTTGAATACATTTGTGAGACTGATAGATGTACATCTTAGGAACAATATTGATACTTGTCTCATAAGTAACGCTCAACATGACTACACAAGGAGCGAATCTGTAGAGAGAGCACTGCATGAGGTGGTAAGTTGTGTCGAGCACAGCTTGAAGAATAGGGAAAAAGATATCATCCTCCTCCGAGTCTACTATCTGTAAACGGTATCCTAAGGCTATTTGCATCTAAAGACCGTTGCCTAGGTAAGTAAGTGAATTATTTTTATGGCCGAAAGATAAAGAACAATGTGTAAATTCTGGGAAAATGGAAGTGGTATAGTTTACCAGAAGGTATAAGGTAGATAACATCAGCCTGCTAAAGTTAAATGGCATCCAATTAGGGTTTGTATTTAGAGACTTTCCTTGAGCAAACTTTCATGGATTGAAAATACTCAGAAAATAATGAAAATGCAATTAATCCTACTACAAATGCTAGAATTCTTTGAAAAAGAACTGGGGTCTGTAACCAGTATTGAACTTCAGCAGACTTTTTTAACGATTATCGAATCGTTTAAACTACTAAACAACAAAAGGGATATCTTACACAAAAATAACTTCCCACATGGGTTGAATACCACATTAATAAGGAAAGTTGAGAACAAAATTAATTCCCCAGGTAATAACCACGATAAGGATACATCTGGCAACACTAAATATTACAGCATACCGTTTAACCAAAATTAACAGAGAACAAACAAATGAGAGACATAATGAACGATGAACAAATAATTATTGCATACAAATCGAATAAGACAATACAACAAATATTCACACAAACAAAAACAAAAATTGAAGATAGAGAACAAAACAATGTTGTGTACCAAATAAGATGTGATGGTGGAGACCATGAATGAAATAAACAAGATTGCAACACCGACAATTCCGTTATTTTAATGTACTCTTTTTTCGTGACGTCAACAGTGCTTGTTTTGCTATGTTTTAAATGTAAAATACTTAATTTTCACAGGAAATTTGAAAACAAATAGTGAAAAAATAAAAATAAATAAATTCAAATGTGGTGTGTAGTCAAAAATTGTAATAATAATAATAATAATAAAAAATCAAAATAGTGTGCAATAAGATTTTTAAACTTTCCTTCAGATTCTAGCTTATTAAAGCAATGGATAAGTTTTTGTTGTCGCAATAAACAAATTAACGTTAAAATGTCTAAAATCTGTATGGAGCATTTCAAAACCGAAGACTTTGAAAACAATTTACAATTCGAAATGGGTTAGTATGAAGCAAATGATTTCTGTAATAAATAGATTAGTCCCTATTATATTTAAATAAGTTAAATATTTAAATAAGTTAAATATTTAAATAAGTTAAATATTTAAATAAGTTTAATATTTAAATAAGTTAAAAATTCCTAATAACATAAAACGTAAAATACATTTTATTTTATTAGACAAAAATAAGTTTTAAACATAATTATTTCCTTTTCTATTATAAATCACGTCACTGAGCTTAAGAGTACTTTTTTAAGAGAGCCATGTCGCCATCTGTGTTTATTTCTTTATGGTTGGGGACAATAAAGAGTGTGGTAAAGTTTATATTGGCACAACAAAGAGAAATTTAGGCGTGAGAATAGATGAACACATAGCTGACATAAAGAAAGGTAAACGCAAGACTGATAACATAGTGAGACAAAATAAACGAAAATCGAAGTACCTGGGAAGTGATGCTATTTTTCTGAAAGGTGGATCCGAGTTGAACAAGAATCTGTTTTTGAAATTTACCAAACATCTCCATAATCTTGAGATACGGGTAAAAAAAATGTATATGATGTTTAAGTAACCTGGAGAAATATGTGTGTATTTAATCGGCAAGCATATATCTGATTTAAGTTTTCCTCCTTTTTGCAAGTTTGCAGATGTTTTTTCAAAGTATTTTGTATAACAACCGTACTGTTTACTAATGTATTAGAAAACTAGATCTGTTCATGAGTAAAACGCAACTGTTTTTAAAATCCGTTAAGAATTGACGGCATTGTTGAACTTTTTCTTAATGCAAAACTTTTCAAAAACTGATTTTCTAAAGGATGCTTTATATGGGGAATAGGGCTAAATGTGGGCCGATTCTCATAAAATTTGTTGGAAGGATTTATGTATATATAAAAGTTATTTATGTTGAATTTCATCGTGATATTGATATTAAAAGAATAATTTTTACTCTTAAATTAACATGGGTTTATAGTCAATTAGTAAATAGTACGGTTCTTATATAAAATACTTTGAAAAAACATCCGCAAACTTTAAAAACGGTGCAAAACTAAAATCAAAAGCATGTTTGCCGATGAAATGCACACATATTTTTCTAGGTTACTTAAACATCATATATGTCATTATAAAGGGCTCAGATATTGGTTTCAAAATCCGTTGAGAAACTTAAAATCGGTTGAGATTCAACTATGTTACTGACTTTTAACAGCCTGTTTTTCTAAAATGAAAATTTGTTTTCGTTCTTAAAAATAACAAACGAAATTGGCTTTACGTTTTTGTAACGAAAAAATAAATTTTCATGTGAGTAGCAACGAAAGAGCTTTATTTTTCCATATATTTTTGGTTTTTAGAAAATGAATTCGTTCGTAATAAACGAAAGAAATGTCAGAAATAGACGATAGGCAAGGGCCTTTCGTTTGCCCAAAAAACAACGATAATTATACCAAAATACGAAATAATATGTGGCCACTTGAACCTGAATGCAATTTGCAATACAAACCTTTAAATTTCTTGAGCATACAATTTTCATGTTGTTTTTAAAAAAAACATTTTTTCATAATTTAAATTTTTTTTGTAAAATTATTTTATTTTTGTTTATTTTTTAGGGTTAACACCAAACACCTTATTACTACATGAAAAAATATTTAAAATTTCAGAAATGAAATACGTTGGCAATAATGTTCTGTTAAAAAGCTCATTTCAATTTAGACATTTTTAAACGAAAACTTTCAAATGTTTTATAAAAACCTAATTTTAAACTTGATCGTAATAAAATTAAATGTTCGTGTGAGAACTAAATTGTTTTAGAAAAACAGGCGGTAAGTGCCCGTATCTCAAGATTTTGGAGGTGTTTGGGAAATTTCAAAAACAGATTCTTGTTCTACTCGAATCCACCTTTCAGAAGAATGGTATCACTTCCCAGGTATTTAAAGTATTAAATAAGAATTATCTTATTTACCTTCATTGTTATGCATTTTAAAAATTATTTAGGATGTATGTTTTTTCTGTAAATTATGCTCTTATTTTTGAAGTTGTGTTTTTGTTTTTTTTCAAATTGCGACATCAAACAACTTTGTTGAATGCTGTCAAGCAACTAAATAAAATATTTGTATTTTTGACGCTCATGTTGAGAAGTTCGTATGCGATCGTGTTGTATGCTACTAGCGCCGGTCTCAACGTTGCCACTGACCAAACTTTAATCCTGCCAAATTATTGTCAAAAATCTACCAAAATCGTTTGAAACCTACCAATTTTTTGAAATCAAAAAATTTTTTTTTTTTGGGAAAAGTATGACTTTTTTATTAAACTATTTCGTCGACTATTTGTGCCGATCCTTATAAACAGTAACATTTCGTCTCCAATAAAACTTGTTTATGTTGAATTTAATCACTATACATGTTTTTTAAGCCACTTACTAGCAATATAGTAATTTGCTGAGTAGGGCCTAATATGGGGACTATGTGAAATCACTGACCGATATTTTCCACTTTCAATACAAAAAAAATTGGGTCAACTAAAAATATTTTGACAAAATATTTCAGCTCTCTATCTTGTTTCTTTTCGACTTTCTCGTGTTTTCATTAAACAGACTGACGGGCGAACATAGTTGGATCGTCTGACTTTTGTGGGTATCTGACTAATATTTATAAACGGAATGACAAAACGCGCATCTTTTTACGGTGGTTATAATAGAATATATGTACTATGCATATGTATTTACATGTATGTATGTATGTATGTATGTATGTATGTATGTATGTATGTATGTATGTTGTATGTATGTATGTATGTATGTATGTATGTATGTATGTATGTATGTATGTATGTATGTATGTATGTATGTATGTATGTATGTATGTATGTATGTATGTATGTATGTATGTATGTATGTATGTATGTATGTATGTATGTATGTATGTATGTATGTATGTATGTATGTATGTATGTATGTATGTATGTATGTATGTATGTATGTATGTATGTATGTATGTATGTATGTATGTATGTATGTATGCATGTATGTATGTATGTATGTATGTATGTATGTATGTATGTATGTATGTATGTATGTATGTATGTATGTATGTATGTATGTATGTATGTATGTTTGAACTTATAGATGGCTAAACGGTTGAACCGAATTTCTTGTAATTTTCACAGTGTCTCGCTTATCTGGGAAACTATTAGAGTTAA